CTATCTATCTATCTATCTATCTATCTATCTATCTATCTATCTATCTATCTATCTATCTATCTATATATATATATATATTCAGCAACTTATGGGGTGGTGGTGTTTGTTTTAAGAACTGGAAATCAAGAGGGGAGTTTCATGGTTTTTGCAGCCAAATGCAAGCCCTCTTCCTCTCCTTTTGGGAAGATGACTCACAAGTGTGACTCTCAATCAGGATGGAAAAGATTGCTGCGAAAGGTGGGGGCAGGGAGGACATTTACTTGCTGCTCTCGGCCAGAACGACAGCCGTCCAAACATCTCAAAAGAGTGAGCCTTTTTTCTAGCTCCCCTCTACCCTGTCGTTCTCCCCCCCCCAGCTCTCTCTCTCCCAGCCACCTTATTTTCGTTCCCTCTCCCCCATATTTATCTGACCTTCGGATATCAACTTATGTAACCCAAAAATGCAGGAGCCCCAGAAGGGTTTAGGCGGAGACTATGCTGCCCAGAACCAGCAGGGGGTGCAGGTGAACATTCTCTGTCCTGCTTGCTCACCCAACAGAGAGGATAGGCTGATCTTCTCTCTGTCCATCTAAGAGACGCCTGGAAAGCATTTTTGACGGATGTCTCAAGCTCTTCTGGTTGGTTGGGTGGCAGAAAGGCAAGTGAACTTGGCAAGTTTGGCTGAGAACAGCTGGTGCTCCTCAAAAGCTCAGTGGGATACAAGGAGGATGCTGGACAGATGCCTTACAAGGCCTTGGATCCAGCGAGAATTGAGAGACTCCGAGCAAAAGAGCAGGAATAATGCAAAAGTAAATGCAGTCAGAGATTTATGTGAGTGTGCAAGCTATCCATCCTTTCAGTCCATGGAAGATATTATAGAGAGACCTTGATTTACAACTGTTAATTTAGTGACCGTTCAAAGTTACAACAGACACTGAAAAAAGGAGGACTTAGGACTTAGCATCTCTGTGGTCACATGATCAAAATTCAGACCCTGGGCAACTGGCGTGTACCTATGACGGTTCCAATGTCCCAAGGTCATGCAATCCCCTTCAGATGAAGAAAAGGCCACGGGAAAGCCAGATTCACTTATCAATATCCAGGGGTCAATTGTGATTGTAAGTCAAGGTTCTACCCGTACAAAAAAATACTCTGAGCAAGTTCTCGCTCCGCAGAATAAGAAACCAACCCTTTCGCTACTTGAAATCAGCGAGTGTTTCTCATGCTGGCTGGGGAATTCTGGGAGTTGAAGTCCCCCCCCCCATCTTAAAAGTGGCTAAGATGGAGCAATGCTGTGCTAGAACATAGGAGAAGCAACCTAGGCACCTAAGGACACATGTATGAACTACCACTCCCAAAGTTCCTTGCTCATGAGAGCTGAAAACCAAAACTCTAGATTACTGATCTCTCTTCTATGAGGCAGGGGTGGGCTTCAAAAATTTTAGCAAGGGGTTCTCTGCCTGGTTGCTGGGTGGGCGTAGCCTAGTCAGCCTCCTGTACCAAAATGGGGGGGCACTTTTGCCCTCTCCAGGCTCCAGAGACTTTCCTCAAGCCTCCGGGACGGCGAAAACAACCTCCCCTGGGCTCCGGAAGCCCTCTGAGGCCAAAAACTTCTGGCACTTCCCGAATTTCCTGAAACTTCTGGAAGCTTCCTGAACTTCCGGTCGGCCCATTTTTCGTCCTCCCAGAGCCTATGTGCATGCCCTGCACTTACCTGTCACCCAAAACGGGCAGTATGGGGACTCCTGGGAGGGGAGGGGTGGGCGGGGCCAGCCAGGATTGGGATTTGGGGGTTTTCCAAACTGCACAGAATCTTAGCTAGAGATTCTCCCGAACCTCTGCAAGCCCCCAGCAGCCTACCCCTGCTATGAGGGCTCCTAAAAACCTTGGGAACATTTCCCTGTGTTCAGAAGAGGCTGCTATACGTGCCGTTTTTTTTCAGGTGGCAGAAGAGGAAAATTATTCAAAGCATTGAGGCATACTCCTTCAGCTTCACTCATTGAATATAGCATTAATTGGATTTAAATGTGGGTGGAAATGGAACCAAAGCTAATTTCATTAGCATCTCTGCTCTCTCCCCACCTGTTTAGAACCCAGCTCTGGCCTCAAAGGAGTTTTTAAAAAGGAATTAAATAGAATAAGGAAAAAGGGAAGATTCTCAGTCATCTAGTTCATGGTTGTTTCAAAGGTGTATTTTTTTTCTTGTTCAAAAGACTGTTGGTTCTTGTAGAAGGGGGAAGAAAACGTTTCCCTTCTAAGCCAAGAAGCTTCATCCGTTCCTCAGAAGTGAAACATTCTCTTCTTCTTACTCAAAGAAAAAACAATTATCAGGTTGCATTCTGAAGGGGAAAAAAATCCTTTGAGAAGAACTGAAAATTCATCTAAATAAGGATTTTTTGTTCTCATTTTGGTTTTCTTCAACTCGTATTGAACTAACAAAGCAAGTGAGAAAGGAAATGAAGAATGATAATCTTCCCTCCAACAATGAAGAGGCTGCTCTTGAACCAAATACATGAAAATCAGCTCACATATCTAAAATGGGGGCCAGAGCTGCAGGTCAAGAGAACAATACAAGATCAGGACCAGTTAAAAAGCCATTAGTTCACCCACTGCATTGAGCGGCTGAAAAGTAAGAGGGTGTTAGACTGGATCCTAAGTAACTTCTTTGTGATTTTCTTTTAGGAAGTTCTTTTCCTTTAAGGGGGACCGCCTGTCAACTCTGAAGATGGCCTAGCCACGACCATCTTGGAGGCTGCAGCATTGCCACACTGGAGTTAAGGGATAGGGAGTGGGGGGAGAACAAAGATAGCTGGGGTTTTGTAGCCAAAACAAAATAGTTTCCCCTGAGAACCAAGGATATTCCCACAAGTGCCTGAAGAGAGGAGGAGTAAAGTTTCCAAGCAACCAGATGGCACCTTGATTGGACCATGTGACTCACTGCCCTTTTCTGTAGTGGCACCATGACTTTCTGAATTGTCTTGGAGGAGGCTCGCCTGGCACCAACCACTTGTGGGGATTCTTACCTGTGATTGTGCATTGACATTTGCCCCAAAGTTCACCAGCTCCCGCACGACATCGTCTTGCCCTGCCAAAGCAGCAATGTGTAACGCTGTGTTCCCTTTCTGGGGAAAAAAAAGCCAGAACGAAGGCAAAGAATTATAATGTAGCCTAAAAGAGAATCTCTTTTTTAAAAAATAAAATAAAAAAGAGCAATGAATGTGATGAATCAAGAACAGCGACTGTCATTTTGTACTGAAAAGTTCATCGTCACAACTCTGTGTTTAGCCTAGATTGGCATGTTGTTGCGTGTACCAAGCTCTTGAATATATCTACAATTCTCAACAATTGTATCCTACTTGCATTGACATCAGTGCCTTCCAAGAATTTTGGACTTTCTTTAGAGAAGTTATGGGCAAGGTTTGGACACCTTCAAGGTGATTTGATTGATTGATTCTTTTTCTTTTCTTTTTTAGTTTTTTAATTTTTATTTTATTAAATGTAAACAATCCATCATCCATTAAACAGTGTGTCATCTGAGTACAAACATTCTGTGCAATAACAATTCAAATTTACAATCATATTCATTATTTATCTGTTTCAGTTTTAACACCAATACTTTAAATATCTAATACTATAACAATCTTCTTCTTAATTTATTTAGCTCTGTTAATTATGTTAATTCTGTAGATGCATTTTTACACAGCTAATTTTACTTCTTACGTTTATTCTCTAACCATTGAAAAAATTATTCCCTTATAATATAATAATCAGTTTATTCTTTCTCTTTAATTGCCAGTGTTAATCTGTTCATCTCTGCACATTCTAATATTTTCCTAATCACATTCTCCTCTGTGGGAATCTCTTCACTTTTCCAATTTTGTGCAAATACAATTCTAGCTACTATTATAACATGAATGATCAAATATACATTTTCTTTACTATAAGTTTCTGATTGATTCATTCATTCATTCATTCAATTTCTATAGCCATCCATCTCAATGCTACTGACTCTGGATGGTGAACAATATCACAGTCACTGCAATTCTACAAACTTTGAGAAGTAGGGTGAAGCCCAGACTAAAATGCATTTATTAAAAGTCAAGAGTATAATAAATAAAAATAAAAAAAGTTTCTTGCCCAGACATAATCATAATAAAATCCCTACTTTCCTTTATGGGGAGGAGATGGTGCAAATTTGTTTGGAAATGTTCAAAGATTTTGGCATTCTGTTTTCTGCCAGCATGACCACTGAGGAAGATTCTGGCAGTTTGGTTTGGGACAAACTCTTTGCGTTGAAATATTTCTAACCAATCAAGCCAATGTATCTTTGTCCCTCCCCCTCTGGAGACCGAGGTGGTATTCAGCCAGTTCTGACTCGCTCTGGCAAACCAATAGCGGAACTTTCGAGTAGTTCAAAGAACCGGCAAATACCTCCTCTGGTTGGCCCCGCCCCATCTATTCCCTGCCTCCCAAGTCCCAGCTGATTGGCTGGGTCTTCTTCTGTTGCCCTGCACTGGAGAACAAAGCTGGAAAGCAGGTTAGTGGGGTGGGGAGGGAATGGAGATTTTACAGTATCCTTCCCCCAGGACTGGGGAGGGAATGGGGATTTTGCAGTATCCTTCCCCTGGAGTGGGGGGGGGGAATTGAGATTTTGCAGTATCCTTCTCCTACCACGCCCACCAAGCCACACCACGCCCACAGACACGGTAGTAAAAAAAATTGAATCCCACCACTGTCTGGAGCCTTTACCTTGGTTGTTGTTTCCAGCACAATTTCTTTGTGCAATAGCTCAGCCACCATCTTGACATGCCCCTCCTTAGAGGCCAGATGTAAGCCATTCAACCCATTCTGGAAAAAGAAGAAGGTGTGTTAAACTATGGCTGTTGTGTTAGCTCACGGTACTATGCAACAGATTCAGCCTGGACAGGGTAAGGGTTTGGGGATGGGTAGGTGGGTGAAGGTAAACCAACAAAAAAAAAAAGACACAGTGGTTGCATTAACACAGCACTTAGTTATTGGATTAAACTATTTTCTGAAATCATGCAACACACTAAAACCATAAACTAGCTAAACAGGCTGGGTTTGCACAGAACACGTATGTCGTATATTGCAACACAGAGCCGACACACTCACACAAAGCCAAGGTTAAAACTAAGCTTAGCTTACTGTACGCATGCAGCTGCTAAGTCTGGGTAAACCTGTTGTGCAAACACAGCCTGTGTGTGAGACAAGAAAGAGAGAGAGAGAGAGAGAGAAAGGCCACATTCACACAACATGCTAAATTGGGACAATGTTGTAACTCAAGCGTCCCGTTTGGGAGAAGTCACAGGTTTACCAACCCAAAGTTATTTTAGCCTTGTGTTCTGTCCGTTGGGCAAATCTTGGATCCTGGATCACTTTGGTCCCCATAAATTAAGCTCTCTTAGCAAATGCAGCCAAAGGAGCAGAGCAGAGGTGAGTTCCTTCCAGTTTTGACCAGTTCAGCCAAATAGGTAATAACTCACCCTGCCCAAACCAGTTCTATCGCTACCGGCACCATCTTGATTTTCAGTTCTGCACATACACAGAACAATCTTCATTGCAGAAATTTATTTATTTTTTCATTTTCTAAGATTGTGCGCATGCGCAGACCTTTTTAGGTGCAAATGTGCACACGCATGAAGCAAAAAAATTTGCGTGCCGAACCAGCAGTAATGCCGGCAGCAACCCATCCCTGGAGCAGAGGGAGAATTGTTTTGTTTTTTTTAATGTGCTACTGTATTCCTGCAA